GTTGGTTACATTTTTAATTTCTACAACTGCTTCGCCTTCAATAATAACAATAAATCTGTTGGAGGGCGTTCCTTTTGTTATCAGACCAACTCCAGTAGTCTCATTTAAAATCCCATCTACCAGTTGTACGCGGGTAACATCTACCTGAAGCATGTAAATCTTACCTATCGTAAACTCCCTGAGAAAAGAAAGAATGTGAAAACTAATTCAGTGCGTTCTGTAAGAATTTGATTACTTGTTTAATATTTTTCCTAAGAAGCAATGATAGAGCTTTATCCTCCAAATATGCTTCAGAAAAAAGCGCAGTTTGTTCTCTCAAATAGCGAATTGCTTGCGCTTCCATTTGGATAGACAGTTCTTTGTAAGTCACTTCATTTGACAACATCTCTGCAATGTGTGGCTCCTAAAAAATAGAACAATTTGACGACAAGAAAATAATTTTTTATACAATTCACATTAAATACTTCAAAAAGCGTTTTAAAATTGATTTACTCGTTTTTCTTGCCTCAAAAATTCGTATTTTTTAGTGGTGGCACTTTACTGTTCTTTCAATGCAGTGGAACCGAAATAACATTTAAACGTTATAAAAATGTATCTTCAGTTGTTGTCAAAAAAAAGAGACTGAAGGAAAAACAATAAAAAAGTGCAGCGAAAACCTTGATGCCTTTTCTTTTGGAACGATGAACATTGTCGATGATAGTGTCTGTTTCATCAACAATTTCGGCTTGTAGAATTTCTTCGATGATGTCTTCAAGTGTCACAATACCAAGAAGTTCTCTTTGCTCAGATAAATTGCTACTTTTTCGATGTTTTACGACTATTGCCAAATGATAGTTTCCCTAAAACATTCAGGAAGAGATGAAAGAAAGACTACACAAATCTTTATTAAAAAACCTAAAACCAGTTCCACAAATTCCCTTCATTATCACGTGACGTGAAAGAAACCTTTTTGAATTCCTCGAGTAACGAGTGTAACAGTTCAGTTTCGTCAACGAAACGTAACGGATAACGATGGTACTCGCAGACATTTTTGACCGTAAAATTGTCATTCGGATCAATTAGGGCAAGATCTCTAATCAACAAAAGTGATACAACGTTATTGCGATCTTCCCCCTAATAAATATACCGCGATCAAATGAACAATGTTTTATTTCAATGAGAAGACGGCAGTAGAACTGACCCAATAATAAAAAATGGCAAAAAATGCTTTCCAGCGCTAACAAGAAAAGAAAAAACTTAGAAGAATAAGTTTTTCTCTCACACTGTAGACCGGAATCCGTGTATAACCATGACGAAGTATTTCTGCAATGTTAGTAGCGTTCAGCTGTGTATCTTCTGACAGCATGAAAACATCCTAAAATTAAGGATTAACAAAGACTAAATCACTTCTCCTTTTTTCTTGAAGCTCACTTCTAAAGCATTTAAGCACTCTAACTCACTGTACATTAACTACGCAAACCCTGCTAAAAAAAGGCACCGTTAATGCTTCGTTAAGTTTTTGGTCATAGACTTTGTACCTCAATTTTTGTTAAAATTTCTCCAACAGTTTTTTGATAAATTTCCATTCCACCAACAGCAATTTTGAGATCGCTATGCAACTCATTATCTTCTTGACTACCAGTCATTTTCATCAGTTGAATCAGTCTGTAAAAAGTATGCATGAATATAAGATGAAAATGAATCGATAAAATAAAAAGTTATAAACTTGTGCCCTGTAAGTTTTAGTTGCTGTAGCATATCAAAACTGACTAGATAAGTCGCATCAGTAACAATGACAACAAAGTACACGAAAAGGTACTCAGAAATCTTACTTATTCCGATCGTATACGGGCATGTTTTCACCAATGAAGAAATCTAGCAGCAAACTGATTGGGTATGACAAAGGGTAAGTAATAAACATAAAAGCTCTTGTCAACCAAATGGTATGCGCGCCAACAGCAAGCCCTTTTCTAAAACAAAATGAAGCATCTGTACCGAGCTGTTCTTATTCTTGAAAACTACATGTACATTAGAAAATCTTTGTTAGTTATTAAAGAAAATACACCTATTCGTTTTTCTGTATGCTGTCGGCTTGTTAATTCATGCTCACTGCGATAACCGAGGTATTCTCAGTTATCAGTAATTAAATTCTCCACCTGACTATTTTTCAAAGTAATTAAAGCATTTACGCTATATTTGAGCAAGAAAAAAATAAGCATTAACAAGTTCCGTATTGTTTGGTTGTATGGAGAATATTCTGATCATTTTTGACAAATCTGGAGAAAAATTTTAGATGACGAACTTCGCACTTTATGCAGATGCTTTGTGGTATTATTTCGCCGACAACCACAATTCCAGCGGATGAAATGATGAAAGCAAGCATTCCATCGGTAATATCCTCTAAAAATATTGCGATGGCAGCATTGACCACCACATTCATGATCAAAATAGTGCACAACAGATAGTTGCCTTTTCTACGTACTGGTAAAATCGCTTCCGCGTACTGTTGTTCCTCTTTAGAACCTAATACAAACAGACAAATAAAATTTATTGCAGTAAGTACTGCAAAGCAAAGAAAAATTAATTATGTACTAAAAAATACCAGACTGTTTAATCAGTTGCAGTTCTTGCGGCGTTAAAGCCATAAGGCCGAGATTTAGCCCGGACATAAGTGCTGATAAGCAGAACAATACCAACAAAATTGTTACTTGAACATACAACGGAAGAATATGATCCTTTTCTGATATCAACTCTGTGGTAATCCATGTTTTAATATCATCTACCTGAAATATTTAAAATTTTGCAACAAATAAAAAATTCCAACAAATATTTTTTTACTGAAGGAATGACTTCTATTAATTCAAGTACGTGCCATAATCATATCTTTCACAACTTTATCTTCAAACTGACTATATGATCGTTCTTCGTAACATATTTGGTATGGTTCTTCAGACCTGAATAAGTTGTTTATGTTTATTATCTGAAAGAAAGTTTGCCTAACAAAAGAAAAAATAATAATAATTTCAAAGCTTTGTTAGACACTAAATCAAGATTTCTAGATAAAATTAAAAAACATATTTTTCCTGTTTCTTTATAAAATCGTCTTACTCAGCGAAAGAAACGTCGAAGTCAATTCTATCTTTTTTATGCACCACAAAGTCTTGAACTGTTACATAGATAGCCGAGTTAAAGCAATTTTCTGTTGTTAGCGTGATCAGGTTGATTTTGTCCAAATTATAACCAAAAACATTCACTCGCACTTTAATATCTGGATGTACGATAGTAATACCAGTTTCTCTAAAAATAAGTTACATTTTTTGTTTCTATACTTGCTTCTTTTTTCGATTAGTTTACAAGTAAAAAAAATCGAGAGTTTTTTATTAAGAAATAAGAATAGTGCTGAAAAATTTAGCGTTGTTATGAATTTATTATTTCTCAACTTGTATTTCAACCTTCGTCATCTTCCCTGGCATTTCTTTTTGTAATTAAAAATCATATCAAAAATTACAAATAAAGTGATCGAAAATAAGTTCTGCTAAAACAGAAAAGGTGAAAGAATTTTTCTAGTTATTGAAGTGAAAGAATCAAAAATAACACAAAAATAACAGTAGTTATGATTCATTATCTTGTTTAGTGCAATACGTTCTCCTGCTTGTCGACCAACGTAATTGAAAAATTCTTTCCACGAAAAAATGTTCAAACACTTTTTTCTCTTTCCTTATATGTTTATTGACTCTTACGATTAATAACTGTATATTTTTTGCTTTTAAATTTGATTTAATTTAGTTTTTGCAATAACACCAACGAATACGACAGTAAAAATACGAAGAAAGACCTAAAACATTTCAAAAATCTTGCGACATTTTCATTTCAACCAAAGAAGAAAAAATTTAAGGAAGAGACCTGTCTGAGGTAACAAAAATTTTCTTTTTTTTTTCTTTCTTCGCCAACTAGTTGTTGACCAAATTTCAGCTGACACAAATAATAGAAAAAAAGCTTAGTAGATCAAAAAAAGTTTTTTTTAAATTTGTTGTTGTTCAAAATTAAGAAAAAAATTTTTCTAGCACTAAAAGAGCTACAGTGAGAAGTAGCAAAATCAATATGATTGAAACTAAAGACAAAAAAGAAGGCACAACGTAGGCACGAAAAAAAGACAATTGGTTAAAACCAAGACTATTTTTTAAATGTCTACAAAACTAAATTATTATTCTGTACGCTTAAAAAAGTCAATTGTTAGTTTGAGAACAAAAATTAAGAATTTTTATCTAAAATTTCTACTTACGAGTAAGCGACAAATCCTTTTATTTTACCAATGTCGACAACGCGTATTCCAAAAATTTCTGGTTCAACCAAATCTGTGCTATAAGCACCATTTCGGTTTGCAATTACCTGAAGTATCAATGCTCAGAGAGGGAAGTCATTTGCAAAATTTCAAAAAAAATTAAACAAATAGCAAAAGAATTAATTACCTCAGATGCTGGTAACTGTTGTTGGCTGTTGACAGAATAGTTTAACAAGACGCTTAGAAGAACACTTAATGGTAATAAAAACAACATATCAAGAGTAATACTCACACACAAACAGTTATCAATTTTAACTGTTTGCAGTAAACAGTACAGCAATAAATAATATGTTCAATAATAACTGTTAAAACTTTTTTACAGCTTTACCGTCCTTCATTAAACAGAAAACCTTTGTCCATTGAAAAGGAAAACAAAATCTAAAATAGTTTTTTGTCAGATATAATAAATTTAAGAAGAAATAAAATTAGCAGGAATGAAGAACAAAGGTTGTAGCGGTCCAAAAAGATTTTTTTGTTCAATAAACTGTTAACCAAAAAATTCAATGTAATGATAAGACACAGAAACAAATTTCCCATCCTTCTTAATTTTTTCTTCTTCTTTCTTTTTCTTACTCTCTTCTCTTCCCGTTCCTAACGAATCAGTTTTCACTGTGCCTGTTTGTATGTGTTTACGTAACAAAGAATTTTATCGCTGTGCAGCAGAAAATTCTCCTATTTTTTTTTCCGTTTTAACACTGTCCAC